GTTCAAATTTTGACAACATTTATTAAATTCAAAATTTACTGACTATATTTTTGTAGTTGGAACATTTTTAATATCTTCAACTTTTATAGCTAAGGATTGAAAATTTAAAACAAGGTTGCATGTAGGTAGTTAATTCTGTAACCAACAATTTATTTAAAAATATAAAAAAAAGTTTTATTTCATAGTAATTTTATATTAAAATTTGAGCGAAATTACTTATTTAAATAAAAAATAACGATTTCAGTTATTTTGTTGAAATTTAAAAATATTATTCGTGATTACTTGAACCTTTTTAGATTAGGTATATACCTATATACTATTATAATTTATACACACAATGACATTTTCAAATGCAATTTTTTCAACAAAAATGAATTTAACCTACTATTAGTATTATAAGAGGCATTATTATGCCTCTTAAATAGTAAAATTTACAAAAAGCTAATAAAAAAAAAAAAAAAAAAAAAAAAAAAAAAAAATAGTAAAATAATAGTTACCATAACCACAATTTTATCATAAAATATACGAGTACCTATACTTAGTAAAATTAAAGGCTGGTAAACCGTCTTCATCGGTCAGAAACGTTTTTCGTATACAATGATTCTAATTCATTGAATTCAAATTTAAAATACCTATTACAGTGACTACCTAGACACATTACGTACAGCACAGTGTTAACCGGTTTTTTAAATGTATTTTTAACTTACTGATTTTTATTAAAATAAGCTTAATAAATAACAAGTTACTTTTAATCAAATCCAAATTAAGTTAATTTATAAATAATTGAATAATAAATATAATAAAATTATTATTAAAGACTCATATATTGCATAAACATTTACTTTATATTATTTTAAACCATATTGTCAAAATTTAAACTTTAAATGATTATAAAAAAAAATTGTGCCTATGCATTTTTAATATTATTTAAATGTTATTGTAACAGCATATCAAGAGTCTTGTATTAGATTTTCATAATTCTTGACCCAACTAATACAATTTTATTGACATTAATAGAAAAATATTGAAAACTGAAAATGTCCGTAAACAACTATTAAAACGAGTTAAAGTTTGAACATTTTATATTTTTATCAAGCATAGGATATGATAAAACAAACATTTTGTGTAAATTTGTGTTAATAGTTATTTGATTTTGTATTATAGCTAAATAAGAAAACCGTTCCACGGGAAATCAAGTGTATATCCATGTCATAAAAAATTTGAACTTCAAACCCTTCAAGACCCTCATAAAAATTTAATTTGACTTTCCAGTACTCATCTTTTTTTTTTTTTTGATTAAGGTAGAAAATGTATGAGGAATCTTGTACCACATTTTTAAGTCTTTGATATAATAAGAAAATTTTTTATAAATTTCTAACTCAAAATAATTTGTTAATTTTTGTGGTTGTTACAAAAGCACATTTTGCTTGGCTGATGAGTTTTCAAAATTTTAAGTGTAATATTTTAGCAATAGGTACCTGATGTTTGTAGATTTTCAGTTTCATTAAGTAATTTTTGGACTCTTGTAATGACTGGTTTTTTCTGTTTATCTGTGATTAAACTTCTTTCTCTTTGTTGCTTTGAACATGAGCTTCTTTGATATTTTACCGATTTCCATTTTGATGAATGTGATTCAGTTGATGTTGAAGGCAATTGATTAATTACCAAGTGTTATTTGCCTCAATAATAACCATACAGTTATCAAAATGATGATCATTGTCTTCTAATAGCTTTTCTGCTGGAAAATGTTTTGATGAATAATCACACTCAATATTTGTATTTACTTTTCGTTTGATTTCATTATTTCCAATTATTTGATTCAACAAAGTTATCTAACGTTCCATTCTTCAGTCCCAATTTCTTTGGAATTTTTGAATTTCTTTTCTTTTTTCGATTTATGAGTTCTTATGTGTTTATAATACACTCACCTTTTATTTGGATGTCCTATGCTACATAATTTATGCATATACAATAGTCGATTACATAAAAAGCAATAAACCTTTTGCTACAAGGTTGTAATTTATTGTACTTTGTGTATTTTCCATTTTATTATCTGTATCCTGATAATGGCCATCTAATTGTATGAAAACCTCAATATCTTCACTATTATACATATCTGATACATTACTTAGAATCCAATTCTTGATTTGTTAACTACACATTACTTTTTTTTGTTCAAATCAATATTTACTGTTTCTAAGCAATAGCCTATTAGATTTTAGGTAAACGCACTCTCCTGTAGGTTCTGATTCCATACCTAAAGTTGATGCACTGCTTCTTTGTGATGACTTTGACATCAACTTCTTTGTTTTTGTAAATATTTTAACAGATTTATCTTATTTCAACTGATTACTATAAAAACTAGTTACACACAAAATTTGTTTTTTTAATCCTGTCAAGATTTTGAATTTATCAATATTATTTTTAAATATCCCATAGTACCGAGGGTATTCGGTTTTTTCAATAGGTTCTGGATGTAATTCTCTTACAAATGTTTCGGTATCTAATATATCAGTTTCTTCCAATTTGGAAAGTATATATTAATTTTTGAATCCATTTAAAATGAAATTTTTTTTAGCCCTTCAAGTAATTTTATTTTAAAACATTGTTCAGACTCTTCAAAAGGATCATGGTGATCAGAATCTTTTGTTAGAATCAATGTTATTATTTTCAGTTATACTGCCCATAATAAAAATATAAACTTATAAACTTATTCAGTTAGATTTTAAATTCTGGAAAAAAAAACAAGCATTGCAATTTAGTTGCTTGTGTATTATAATTTATAATTCAATAAATTAAAAAAGTATCAATATAGTCTTGGTGAAGTACTTAATTATTATAATTATTTTATTTTATTTTTTTATGTTGTAAATTATAAATAACAATTTATTGTTAATTATATACATATATATAGTTTAAATGTATAAACTTTAATTTAATTGAACCAGACCAGGGGCACAAAATCTTTAACAGGATATACTAGATATATATTATAATATTTGTGTGTTACCCTTTGTATTACTTTGTATAACTAACCTTTGTATTACTTATAAGTTATTATTAATCAATTACATTTAATTTAGACTATCAGCAAAATAGTTGTTGTAAATCAAAATTTTTGAAAGTCGAAAGTAACTAAAGTGAATTGTAAACGACACGACTATCTAACTTGAAGACAAATATTTCTAAAAAAAAAGGTATAGGAAGCATATTAAATTACAAGGAGCCCTAATGAATCTCGGAACGACTCTGATAATATAACTCATTGTGTTAGTTAAAAAATAAAAACGCCAAATTAACCAAAGTAAGTAATGAAAGGTAATTATGTAAGAAAAATAAAAAGGAATAAATTTAATGAAATATTTTTAAATTGCATTATCAGTGGCATGCTTAGAGTCCATATTAATGAATTGTTAAGAGGATTCTACACTCCACTGTTGTATTTAATCTAATCACATTTTCAAGTAACAATAGATTACCTATATTCATTGAATATAATTCAGTGAATTTCATTGGTTTTAATTTTTTTAATTTTTAATTTTAAAGCTAGTTATAAATTGCATGTTTGCAAAATAAGCATAACTCCCATTTAACCAATGATTAACTCAGAATGTACATTTTACTATGTTATGCGTTTGTAAGATCAAGATGGAGACAACACATTGCGGTTTAGTATCCTCTTAAGTTAAAAATATGTCACTTCAAATTAAATTTACATAACAGTTATTAATGATTAACCCTTGATTTTATTTTCATTATATATTTTAATTAATTAATGTAGTTGAGTATATATACATAGAAAATATATTATTAGTTAAAAATATTCTCATTTTTCAATTAGGTAGGTACAGGGTACCTCCTAATAGTACAATATATCTACTTAAAATTTAAAACCATGTTTTAAAGTATAACTATATTATACAGATTGTCTAAAGCAAAATTTCATTTTAGCATCGTTCTGGTAAAATCAATACAATTTTTCTATAGTATAGGTATTAGGTACCTACCTACATTAATTCCCTTAACAATTAGTACCCTTATTAGTACCAATACCGTGCATTTTAAATGCATAATAATATTTAATAATTTAAAGCACATAATTACATACAATTGTTTATAGTTTTGATCCTAAGAACTTATGAGCTTTAGCTCTTAGATATAATATAATTCTAATTATGAACGTTTAATCCTTATAAATATAAAGTATTTAGGAACTTACCTTGAAATTTGTATGAGATGTAAGGATGTAAAATCAGGAAATATAAAATATTGTTTTAGTAAAATGAACACATGTAAGATGTAACAGTGTTTACTTCACTATACTCATCTATCATATATGTAATAAATTGTTGCAAAAAAAAATTTAAAAAATACCGATGCTAAAAACACACACATAAAGATAAGAAATCTAAAAATATCTACACAAAGATATTAACACTTTCGCCTGTACATAGTACATACTATCTAAGTTCGTGCTTCATCGGGTCTTATCAAATAACATGGCTTATTTTTTTTAACACGTTCTATTATCATACCACTGTAGCACATACACGTAAATTAATACTTTCAAAATTTCAAATATTTAATTTAATATTTATACGCAACTCTCAAGTCCTCAAGACTTCCGAAAAATTCCTCGTAATTCCTAAGACTTTCTCATAATTCCAGAGAATTCTTTGTAATTTCTACTCTTGTACACATAATGCCCAACAGTGGTTTACCCCCATTAAAATTCAGTGTGTCAGTGCCGATTTTGTTGAATTTTGTGAAGACGTATTCACATCACACTCGAAAAAAGCTATTATCTTTATACTACCTCACGCATTTTTATACTTGTGTTATTTTCTTGTGGGTGCCGGTTCTGCTCACAACACCCAAGCTCCACATTAGCTTAAACACATACGATGCATTTATAAATGAATATACTTATTTTTTTTAATTATGATTACGGGACTGCGGGGACAGAGACCATACAATATATTATTGAGTATAAATAAGACTTATTTAAATATGAATGTATATTATTATGATGACATGCGAAAATACATACAATTACAAATCTTAAAATAAAAAAAAATAATACATATTAATCGGAGAAGTCTGAAGTATCAAACATCACAGCATCATCTGCATCTAACATTTCGTCTATAATCCAGTCGATTTTGTACAATTTATCTTCCTCCTTGATTGTTTGGTTGACGAAATTGGCCCACAAATCGGGTGTTATGAGCTGGACTCCATCGCTGAGTAGTTTCTGTACATCAGTCAACTTGTACGTCGTATTATTTTTTTCTAAGTGACATTTTACCACCGGCCACGCCAACTCAAACGGATTCAGCTCATTGTGATAAGGAGGTAAATGTAAGACCACTTTGTTAGTTTTTAACGCTTCTTCGTCTATTAAATATTTATCATAAAGAGGACTGACTTGATCTACCAATTTCATTAATTGACACTTCAAACTCAGCTTATCATCAATGGAACAATTTTTAGACACCAACCATTTTATTATATTCTCTTTTGTCCAATCCATTGTAGGAATGGGTTCCTTTTTTACCAAATGGTAAGAAGCGTTGTCCATTACTATAATGCAATTGTCATTTAATCTGGGCAAAACCCCGCAGAACCACTTGTAAAAGGTATCGTTATTCATTACTTTGTTTTTCGATTTATAACATAACAGTCCACCCTCAACAAAGTGTTCAGTTGAACCTATATGGACGACTATCATGAAGTTCCCTTTGGTTGTTGGATTTTTCAGCCCCTTGGATGGAGGGTCCAAAAATGAATTTCTCTGAGATTTTAACTTAGTATCTATCCCGACGTTACTAGTACAGTCGTCGGTATTCACACACATTTCATCCAAATAGTAAATCGTTCGGCCTTCGTCACGATAACGACGTATGTCCTCAACGTATTTAAGCCGCATTAACACGAGCTCGCCTCTTTCAATTAGTGGACAGTTCGGATTTTTTTTACTAGAATATTTAAAACTCATATCTTTTAATGCCCTCTTCAAAGACCTTTCAGATATATTAGAAAAGTCTGAATCGTTCATAATGACCTGTAGAATTTTTTGAAATGTTGGTATTTCATGTCTGAGCCAAAATGACTGAATTTTTTGCCGAATTGTATTTTTACCATAGTCGTTAATTTTATAATTGATTGTCGGACATTTTTGTTTACAAGGCGGTGACTTGACATTACGTGTTCTTTTGTACTCGCTCACAGTCGTTTCAATTGTACGCAATCTAATTCCGGTTTCTTTGGACATGGATTTCATTAAATCTTCATATTTGATACCAGGTTGTTTTATCATTTTGGATTTATAAAGATTAATGACCATAATTTTTTCTCCACTTTCAAGTAACTGAAACAATAAACAGCGGGTAAGTGGATGCCGCTCTGCTGTACATTATTAGTCTAGGGGGTCGCTGTAACGGATGGTCTTAAATTTGAATTCAATGATATCATATCATTGTATACGAAAAACGATTCTTAGCGGAGACGGTATGTCAGTCTAGGATATATTATATAGGAATTACTTACAAACTACATGGTAGCTGGTAAGTTGAATTAATATTGTTCTTAAATTATCAGTGATACTAGAAAAATAATAAATGTACCTATGTAATATTGGGCTGTTTTGGTACCTAATTAAATGGTAAACGTTATTCTTTGTGTTAATATGCAATTTTGTCCAAATTCTAACTAAATATGTCTGTAAAAAATAACTGAATTTACTATTTATATATTTTTTAGATTTTTTAGTTGTAGAAAACCTGCTTAAGTAGAACCTTGTTTTAAATTGTCAATCCTTAGCTATAAAAATTGAAAATTTTATACATTTTTAACTACAAAATCATTTTCAATTTGATAATTATTGTCGACATTTGAACTTTAAATGCTTATTAAAGAAAATCATGAACATATATTTTTAATATTTTTCAACTGCTATTGTAACAGTTTATCAAGAGTCTCTTGTATTTGATTTTCATTATTTTTGACCCAACTAATACAATTTTATTGATATTTATAAAGAACAAATTGAAAATGTCCGTCATCAGCTTAAAACGAGTCAAAATATTTTGAAAAATATATCATGTGTAAGAATTGATAAAATAAACATATGGTAAAAATCATTACATGAGAAATCGAGTGAACATCCAATGTTTCCAAAAATTTTAACTTCAGAAGCTCATAAAACTGTAATTTGACTTTCCGGTAGAAATTTAATTATTTTTTGATAAAGGTAGACAAACACGTAAGGAATCTTGTATTAAATCTTAGATATATTAAGACAATTTTTTTATGGAATCTTAACTTAAAATAATTTGTTAATTTATTGTGGTTGTTACGAATTTTGTCAAGATTATAAGTTTAAACACTCATAGAAAAATTATTGTTGATTTATGCACGACTTTTTTTAAATTTTCACTAACAACAAACTTACAACTTACAAGGAACCTAATACAAGGTTGTTGTAATACAACATTTACAAAGTTTTTGACCAAGCAAAAAACTCGTTATCGACATTAGTTAAAAAAAAAACAAATAATAAAGTTTTATATGCCTATAAATAGTCCAACACAAGTCAAAATATTTTGAGAATGCTAGGGTGTATAGAAAATGCTAACGCAAATATTCAGTGAAAATGTCATGTATCTATGGTCATTTTCTTAGAGTTACACTAAAAACCTAAATCGTTTTTTTCGAAAACTGGTAGCTTCCACCGTTTTTCCTTAATTTTATGTTTGTTTTTCCTGTCGCTTTTGAAAACTATGAGGAATTAAATTTTGACCTCCCGAATGCACCAGCTAGGTTCAAATTCCTACCAGAAAAGTTGCTGTTGAAGAAAATCAAAGCATTTTTACTGCAAGAAATCGAGATGACAGGCACAAACAAAATATAAATAAATAAATAAATATAAAAACATACATCATTGTAAAATTTATTTTAATAAAACTTAAATAATTTGAAAATTCTTACCCGATCTTTTTTTTTTTTTTTTTTAACGGGAGTAGGCAATTCCATATCAACATTTTGAGCGACAGCTGGTGTCTCAAGATGGTCCACATTGGTCGATTCGTCAGTCAACAACGACTTGATTTCTTCTTTAGAATCGTTCATTTCAAAAATATTCGATCAATTACATAAAAATAATTCACAACAAAGTACGGTAAAATCAAATGCGTGGTCCGATATAGTCAAAAAATTACACAATTTCCATCATGGCTAATTGGCACACATTTCTAACCACCACGGTTGTTTTAAGCACGGCGCACATGGTTATCATGTTTTTTGTACATTTACTATCATTTTAAGCGTGAGGTAGTGATAGTGATACCAAACTATCATAATATAATATTTATAGGTAGCGACGATCCCAATTTACTGTCATGGTGCAACCGCAGCTTAACGTTCATCAACGCTGTAGAAATATGTGTTTATAATAAAATATAATAATTATTCAATAATATTTTAATTTTAAAATACAAAAATTAAGAAAAGTTTTTTTTTAATATTTGGAAAGGAAATTTAATGTTATGAAGTTGGTACAAATGCATTTTCGTTCAGCCCCGAATTATGCGTTTATTCCATGAAATTTATCTGGTGTCCATGCGATTCATCAGGCTGTTTTCGCGGACCTTTTAAAATTCACTTTAAATTGTCAAAAATAGATGCTTGTGTCATATTATTGTAATAACGCAAAAATATAATAAACAAAATATTTAAAAAATGCAAGAAGAATAACTGTAAATATAAATACGACGCCTGCCCATACTTATATCTAAAATTATCTCAATTTACGCTATTACCTTCCTCCTGATCGTCGGAGGGTTCTCGAGATCGTGTATTCGAGAATTGAATCAAGTACACCGTATTAGCGAAATACGTATAGACTAATAAATCGTAAAAATTAGTATGTATTATAAGATGCTCATGCACATTACCTTATCTGCAGCTATATGATGTGATGTAATCATCAAGTGACTCAATGAAGTTATGAAGATTCAAACACTCGAATCCAAAAATTAATACAAGCGTATACAACACAAACATATTTTCGTTGATGGAAAAAGAATCAGTTGTTGCTTGCAGAATCCGAAGTTGAGAGAATTTTCGTAGTGGTGGTTAGTGGTGCGCATGCACTCGTGAAGGGTTGTTACACTAGAGAGAAGTGCTTATGCACTGATGAGAGGTGACGACGTGGTCAAGCCAGCCAGATTCGCAGGCCGTCCCATTAAAGGCCTCCTCGTTTCTAAAGCTTTACCGTTATCTTTAGTGATGGAGACCCTGATTGTACCATCCCTTGTCTCCGGCCTTGTAAGAAACAGTTCCCACATGATGCGCCAGATGGTCATAACTGTGTGTGAGTTTCTATATGACCAAATAACGCAACTCGTTCCTTTCATCAGTGATTATTGGTATTTATTGGATTTTTAAAGGTTCTCTGCATCCGAAAACTTGACCGTTATTTTTTTTATTAAATAAAGCAATGTGTAGTGTGTACAGTTATGATATGTGAGCATTGGTATCATTACATTATTGTCTTCGTTAATCGGTAATACTTACCTTATAGTAACACACGTCTGCACCGCCTAAAATGTGCGACAATTTATTTTCATCAACTCCTGCCAAAATCATAATCGACACAATAAATTTCTCAAAAGAGCTCAAATGCCTAAAACCTTAACAGATCACTTAATAATATGTATTACCCAGTGTGTATTCTGGAGTCTAAACATAATATGTATTTTAAATAAAAATGATAACATTTCTTTGTACAAACCAATTTTTAATTTGTAATAATAATATTAAGTATTCAAATTCTCAAAATAATATACAATAATTTTATATGAAAATATTTGTTTTTCAGAGTTGTTTTTATAAATATATCTAAGTGGGCCGATTTTTTTTTTTTCCCCGGCAGAAATTTTTGACAAAATCTGGCCCTGGCTATACGTCCGTGTTGTCTCCAAAAGTAAAACTCGGCTCAACTCCGAAAATGTCCTGGTAAATTGATTATCGAATGATACTATTATATGATCATAACGACCAATACCAATCAGAATAATAATATATAAGCCACCCAAGTACCCGACACAATAAATAACTTAGCTGTGAACTAGGCTGTGTCACGTCTCATAACTTTATCCAATGCCCACCTTAGGTTTTTTTAACGGTAGGTACAGTGACATTTGGAAATTGGAAAACTCGGTAGCTATGAGTGTAGGTACCTACAGGAATCTCAAATTAATATTATTGGAGGGGCCAGAGACATTTTCGGAGTTCAAGAAGTTTTCGGAGGAAATCAATAAAATTGAGTAGCTCAAATGGGTTAGATATAATGTAGGTATATAATATCAACCCGATATCCGAAGAAAGTATATAAAATCAAAATGATAATGAATTTATATGAGTCCTCATTTCAATTTAATTAATCGTCAATAAAAATGTAAATAGGTTTTCTAGCCTTGGTGGGCCGGATAAATACCTGAAGACTGTCCATGGGCCGCCATTTGGTGACCCCTGGATGTACCTATTATACGCCAATATAACTCAATCAAATATATTACATCATTTTATAGTATGCGCTATTCGTCATGGAAACGAAGGACGAAATTTCGGCAACCTATTCGACGAAAACATCGAAAACGCCAAAACCGCGGTGCATGGTATATATAATATAAAATATACATAGCATGTTCTTATATATTATAGGCACATCGTGAAAAAACATGGACGAGTTTCCGGGCCGTGAAGACCGGAAGAAAATCGTGGCGACGGCGTCCGAGTTCCGAGTCCGCGCTCGCTTTTACGCGATCCGACAGGTTGATGGCGAACGGGTGTACGATTGGTACAGGCGGGTGCGGGCGGCCGCCGTGCCGTGCGGGTTCGGCGTCGTCAACCAGCCGCAGTGGACGCCGGTGGTCGACAAGTTCGTTACGGGGCTGCGGCCGGGTCCGGTGGCCGACCGATTGTTCGGCGAACGAGCCGACAGCCGACTGGACGTCTTGCTGGCCGCGGCGGTCGAGGCCGAAGCTGCGGCGGCCGACGGTGCCAGACGTCTGCCCGCCGGTGGGCCGTCGCCGGACTTGCTCGTCGAAATACGTGAAGGATTGAAGCTGTACCGGTTCAGCGGTGATGGATACGAGAGAGGTCTCATCAGCAGCGGCGGAGGCGACGATCGGGTAAGACATATTTTATATGATCGACATCTGCAATGGCACAACATTTTTTTATTTGAATTACTTACCTATATTATATTATTATATTTTGTCGTTTCATGTGTGCCGATAGCATGGGCCAGAGCCGTGCGCGGTTATAAGATTTGGCGCCCAGGGCAAAATTAAAAATATTCGCCCCCTATTTTATTTATCATAATGCATTTCATATCTATTTGATTACATTTTTTTTTTTTTTACAACGTATTTTGAACATTAATTTGACAAAAATCTAAAGTTGATTGTATAATAGTGATTATTAAACAAAATAGTTTGGTATAATTTATTAATTTATACCGTATTAAATAATTAAAAATTAATACAAATCACAAATTATATTATGTACCATATTATATATATAAAAGTATCATATTCTACGTATCATATAGGTACTTAGTTTAAAACTTAATTTTTCTAGACTTTATTGAAGCAAAATCTTGAATGATGTCTTCAAAATCGATGTTTTTCGTTATTTCATTCTCAATTGACAATATTTCTGAATTGGTTAATCTCTCTTGCAACATAGTTGATCGCAAATACCTACATCTTCGTTAATTTCAATTTACTAAAAAAGCGTTCCTCGGAAGCGACGGTAACAGACATGGTGAGAAACAATCTATATGCAATCATTAAGCTTCGACAAGTTGAATAAAGTTCATATTTTTTAAATTTTAATTGCATTTAAAATATTTAAAGCAGTTGCTTTTAATTGTCTGGTACAATTGCTTTTACTTAATATTTAAAAACTTCGATTTTGTTAGTTATATCCTGGTCAGTATCTTCGTTGTATTTGATTTTGAGATAAAGAATACGATAATTTATTATAAACTATAAAGCCATTTGGTATTATTTAATACCTACAATAATAAAACGTTGCAGTTGACTAATTGTGATTACTCGAAAATAGTCAGACATTTGTTCAAAAAATATTTGTAATGGTCTTAAATAATTTTAAAACAATAATCTTTCTTTTATATTTTATCTATATAAAATTTAAAATATTATAAACAATTTTTAGCACCCCTTTAAAAAATGTGATTGGGGCTTATGCTCCCCCACGGGCGGCCACGGCATGGCTCTGCCATGGCTCTCGGGACTGGTAGTTAAGTTGGTAGTCGTTATTAGCACAAATTGTGTGTTTCAGATTTAGGGGAATGGGCTGAAGTAATACAATAATAAAATAATATCGAATGAGCTTAAAAAAAATTTAGGTTATTTTTTGAGTGGGAGAGCAGCTTTAGAGACTTAGAATTTCTTCCTAAGTTCTTTAAAGGTTAGTGTTTGTTTTCGTAGACATGCACTTTGCCATGGTCTCAAAGAAAAAAATCCAGTGAGTTAGTACCTGGTAGGTACACACAACCTTGGAGGACTTCTAATTACCGATTCGTCAAAGAAGTCGGTACTCACATCCCACCACCCTGTTGAAACCACAACCATGCACGATGTACATATACTGGCATACTGCCTATGTATTTGAGTCAATCTTGTATCACAACAAAATCAATATTATTAATTAGGTTAGTCTTTACTAATGATTCATTACTTAGGTAGGTACTTATTAACTGCCGTCTGCCATACAGCAATATAGTAATTCTCATACTTGTTATACACTTAGGTACACTGCAAGTATGGTAATATGGTATATAGTTATACACTAGCTACGTTTCCTACTTTTTTATCCGTAGAACACATTTTTTTTGGAACTCCTACTTTTTTTATTTAGCTTTCATTGCTTTCAACAATTGGAGGGTACCATCGCTGGATGATTTCCCTCATCTTGTGCTTCATGTATTATTTTTATTATATATGTAGTGTTATGTCAATCATCTTTTTTACTTATTGTGTTATGTAATACAGATTGTAAATTTTCTATTAAATAATAAAAAAACAATACCTAATTGCTAATAAGTTATTACAGCTCGACTTTTAGAACCCCTAATTTGTTTCAATAGTTTTAATGGGTCGTAAGGATTTTGTGCAATAAAAATTTAAAAAGTAATGTCTATACGCTGTATTTAATACAAAAAATATTTTAAAATAAAAATAGTATAAAATAAAAATAGTATAAAATAATAAAAAAAAAATGTTATATGACAAGTGAAATTGCTTTTTTTTTTATTGTAGCTTCAAGTAAACACTAATATAGCTCAACAATTATATAAAAAGTAAATTTAAAATTAATTTAAGAACATAGATATTAAATAATAAAGCCAGCATCTAAAATAAATTTAATAATACTTTTAATAGTGAAGATGCAATTAGTATTGAGAATGGAGTGGAGATTAAAGGGACAGTTAAAAGATCTAAAATAATTAATTTAGACTAGACGTCCGGATATCAGAAATTGCTTTTTATTATTACAAATATTCTTAATACTGAGCTTTATTAATGAAACTTATATTATCAAATTGGGTTCGGCATCAAGTCACGAGTCCATAATTTGTTTTTGTTGATTCATTTTTATCAACGACGTTAAAATATTATTTCTGTATGATATGCTGTAAAAGCACTTTAAGTAGGTAGTAGGTACACTATAAAAGTATAGACTATACCATATTATACATTATTATTTAATATACAAACTTTTATCCCCCCCCCCCCCACTACTAATATTTAGTTAGATTTTTTAAAGTAATTTTCTAGAACAAATTCAAAATAAGCACTTAAGTTTTGCCAAACCCCAGGGTTCCGAGGGAACACAGTCTAAAAAACTCTGTACCCAACCTTACCTACTTTGAATTATGAAAATAAGTTACATTTGGAGCAACTGTTTTATTTTCAGAGTAACGATTATAAACATAAATCATCACAATCATCTAATGTAAAAATGATTGGTGATACGAAATCAACGCTTGATGGAAAATCGTGGTGGAAACAGAGAATTGAAAAAAATGATTACTCACCACCGTCGTTTAAAAACGGTTTTAAGCCACCAACAAAACTGTTGGAAAATGTCCAAGAAAATACTTATTCATACCAACCACCAAATATAAGTAAAAATCATGAAAAACCTTTTAGTAATATTTACAAGTCTACTAGTTACTATCACGATGATTCAAAATGTTATTGTTCGTTGCTGACAAATAACGACCGTAAGCTAACTAAACAATTTAATCGCAATTGGAGTTGAGAAATAAAAAACCATTTCAATTACAAATTATTCAGATTGTACAAGAACATTTCAAAGTGCAGTGTCGGTTACATCAGTGGCTAGTAGTTGATAAAACTGTTCCAAATAATATATCCTATTGATTTATGAATTTTATACTTTGTAGATAACAATTTAGGAATAAAAATATAAAATTATTTCTTATTATACAAATCAAAAAATATTCAGTGCTAAAATTGTTGATTTTTAGAAAATTTCAGGGGGTTCAGGCCACGGGTTATGTCCTTGAACATTCTTAACAAAAACTATATATAAGTAATACAAATCACATTTTTAATTCTTCTAGTTTTATCTTGTCACCCTGAAGTAGTGAAATCTAAATCTTTCATTATGTCTCAAGGTAGCTAAGGAATTTATTAGTATAATATTACAGTATATATTAAATCAATATTTGGTATGAAACAAAATTGGTATAATATTTATTTAACTTTGATGTACAAAAATATACCAGTTATATTTTACAATCAGTATATAGTGACATACAATATGAGCCACGTGATTGGTTATTTTTAATAATGAACAGTTAATAACCAAATCATTGACATATTAAACATTTTACAATAAAACACAAATACTAACTAACAAATACATGCCTTTACACAAATATATATTATTTATTAAACAATTTTAAGTTTGTTGAGTAAAATAATTCTAAGAACATTCCGAATACTTTTTTTCAATGTCTAAAAATGTCTGGGAAAAAATTAACAACAGTTTAACAGTTATAAAAATAAATTAACAGTAAAATATTAAACAATTTTATTACTGCTTGGATTAGTATGTATCATACCTATCCTTATAAGATCTGTTATAACATTTACAACTATCAGAACGACTATATTTAGATTTTTTACATTTGCTACAAAATGAAAAATGTGATTTAATATGTTGAGTAGTTTTATGTACTTGCTTCATAACATTTTTTATAGGGTTCAATTTTTTTGAATCACTTGTGGTAGTTGTTAGACATATTTTAGATATATTTTCTTTTTTACTAATCAAAGAAGTCAACTCGTTAATCCAAATATTTTTAGGAGAATCTGTATTAATTAGTGGTTTTTTAAGTTTATACAACTTCTTTGATTTGTCTACATTACTGTAATTTGTAGCAGAAATAGAATTATCGGCAACTGGTACATTAGAGGAATTTATATCACATTGTAAATTCATGTAACTTAAATTATTACTAGATGTGAAAAATAAATTGTATACTGCCGATTGATTTGTCGGTAAGCTATTTACGACTGTGCAACAGTTACAAGTGCATGGAGATGGTTTAGTTAAAGGTACTCCTGAAATACTGTTTTGACAATTTTTATTTAAAAACTCAAACATTTGCACTCTTAAGCTATTTTCTGTTCTAGAAATAACATTTTTGTGGGCACTTCTCTCAGATACAATTAATGTATTGTGATTTGTGGATGAAAGCTTAGCTGTACTAGAAACACTATTTGTAGAAATAAGTATAGGAGTATTAGGAATACTAATATCAGATGTATGCATGGGAGTATTATAAATACTATTTGCAGATGCAGCTGTATTAGAATCATTTTTTGTGAGCACCGGAGCCTTAGAAATATCATTTGTAGACAAATCAGTACAGTGAATCGCAGATAAATGACAAACGTCGTGTATAGACGTCAGCTGCTTCTTGACAACACTAATTTTTCCATTTGATTCATCTTCTGCTTGTTGTTTAGTCTAAATAAATAAATTTGATTAAAACATAAATATGCTGTTTAGTAAATATGTATACATTAAGACCTCAACACCAATGGTTATTATGTATAAGCTTGTCTTAAAATTTCACAATGGTTTATATTTTATAATAATAAGGAACTTCAATAATTGAAATTGAATATTAATAAGTATGGATTGTTTACATTGTTATTATATTTCGCTTATCATTTTTTAAGTTTCATACAGAAACTGTACTGTTTTTGTGGCTTAGCACTTCTGAATAAATACTTTATAAGGTATGTGCATTCATACATATTTATATATTTTGTATAAGCTATAGCTACTATAATAAATTTAAAAAATACATGGTGCATTGTTTTCAAAAGCGATGTTCCACAATAACCAGTTGTAACATGGGTAAATAAAGATAACAAAATAAACTTTTAATCTCATTATAGGTACCCATGGTATTTTATGACATTGTAGCTATTAAGATTAAACAGACACAATGGTCTAATTATTCTAATTTTACAAGGTATGTGAGGTAGGTAATATCGATGGATTCATCTTTGACTTAAGGTAACTAAAACCGATTAAAATTACTTTAATAATTTTAAATGGTATTTCCCGAGCTCGATAATATATTCTATTTGGACTAACAAATAGGGAAATTAACTATCTTTAGCTTTGTTAATATGTTATATATATATTTTAATTTTACTTAAAATGTTTTTCAAGATAATCACTAACCTTATCTATCACTTCTTCATTTAAAATTAAATTTAATATAGATTTTTAAATTATTTTGATCTATATGTTAATTAGGTATCTATTTTTAGGATATATGTATACTATACTTTCATCAATCATCCCCATAAATAGTTTTATGTATAATTACTTTAACTCAAAAATAATTACTTTATCAACATCAGTATTCTCTGCAAACAGTTTGACTGGTGAAGCTTTTGTAATTAATGGTACTTTTTTTGCAACATCTTCTGTTCTTTTTTCTGAGGAATCTAACTTATTCAGATTTTGAACGAAATCTTTTGTATTACTTGAATCTTGGGAATTGGAATGTTCAATAATTTTATCACATCTATCAATTTCTTTCAAATGTTCATGATTGAAGGCATTATCTAAACATTTTTCTTGACAACTTTGATTTGATAAAACTTTAAAATCTTCTTTATAATCATTATCAATTTTATCCTGTCAACAGAAAGAAAATAGTGTTAAAAATAAGGGCACTTCTAATTTAAAAAAAAAACAATTCTTCACTAATTCTTTTTCCACTCGCATTAAAAAGTAAAATTGGCAAAAAAATTAATCAAGAAATAAATATAAAGTGTATGCAATATCAATTTATTAGATTACCAAAAGTTGGTAAGTAAAAAAAATTGTTAAGATGATGTCGGGGAAAATAAATTATGATTTATCCTCCCAATGGCTAATTTATACAAAATATTGGTTGAATTTGATTACATAAAAAAGATCAAATTAGAGATAGCCAGCGCCAGTTAGGGTAAATACATGCCCACCGGATTATGTAACTTTTACCAGCAGAAAAAACCTGTAAAAATTGGTTAGAACAATTAAATTTGATCTTATTCTAACAAAATTTAGTTTGCCTCACAAAGTTACACTCTGTAACTTGTTGGCGGGTTTATATTGAGCCTGAATAAAGAAGATACATAATATGTAAGTGCAGTACCAACGCATGAGTTACCTACCATATTATAGACCACAAATAGGTATTTATGATTTACCTTATTGAAGTATCAAATATTCAATATTACTAAAGTAGGTACCTAACTTTTTGTTTAAGATATTTATTGTAAGATTTAAAATAAAAGTTTATATAAGTTTTTATTTTACACTTCTCCAAAGTAAATGCTATTTAAAGTATGAAAATAAATTACATCATTTATTTTGAGAAAAATAGTAATAATTTAGAAATTTGTAGGTCCAAACTGGTGTAGAATTTATCCCACAATATCCCTTACCGTGCCAATGATATGGTGCAAACATTCCATTGTTTTTATTAACACCGGTTTAGTGATTCAATATCTAGAGAGTGTGAAATGTTGTAATAAAAATTAAAATTAAGTATTAGGTAGATTAGACAACAAGCTAAACAATCTATATTTTAAGTACCAGACTATACCAACATATGTAAGTAACCTATATATCAATAATAATAAATTAAAAATAGTAAGCGAGTAGGAAATTCTAACAAACATAACAATTTACAATGCCGAAGCTACCAAGCTTTGATGAACATGGTTAAACAGTATACAGACAGAAATAATTGTTGAGGAAAATGGATGAAAAGTTTATCGAAGATATGTGATATAATAATGTTGAGCTTCAATAAATTAATAACAAACCCATTAATGATGGTGGATAGTGGTTAAATAAAAACTGTTAGGTAGGTATAAGCTCGTTGTTATTATAAATAATTGACCTAACATGAACCGCTCGTTAACATACTTGTTTGTCATCATTAGAGTTTACTTTTTCCGATTTCTTAAAAAGTGCGAGCAACTCGTACACAATTGAAGGCAGCAAACTCCACTTTTTCGCGTCATTCACGTTTTTTATATTTTCTATCGTCGGCAAAAATTGTTGAAGATCTGATCCAGTTTTAAACTTTTTCTTGTCACCATCGTCGTCATCATCCAACGGCCGTTTAGAGGCGCCTCCTTCGAGAACGGTTTTTTCCATGGTTGTCGTCGTGGTCGTCGTTAGAAAGAGAGTTCAATTTTCAGTCCAAAAGCTGGTGTTACTCGCGGTGTCCGGACAGTGCCTCATCTAACTATAAAAGCGACATAACTCAGTACTCACAAAAACAACAATATTTCTGTAAAAAAAATAAGGGAACAACAAAAAAGGTCGATTCGCTGTTTGAACAAGTGTATACTTACAATAATATTAAAGATGAGGCATTAAATCATCTACAGTTGTAATAAAGTAACTACTAACTATAGTAAGTTGTGGTTATGTCTTATGTGTGTTTATCCATTTTCATTTTCAGGCCATCGCCTGCCGGACCAGTGGGCTGTGGGCACAGGGTTGTAGCTGTTCGTGACAAGGATCGTTGCAACTCGTCCGTTAATGCGCCAGTGTGCAATTACGACTTACAAATGGCGGATGTAAGTGTAAACCAAAACAAGACGCTATTTTTAGACCACTGAATCACCGAAAAAAATCGAATTATATAATAGAGTACAAATTAAAAATCATAATATTATTATTATAAATTATAAATATAATATCATAAACAAGATTCAACAATCAACCTGCCACTTACAACTTTACAAGAGCCGTTGAAATAGTGAACACTGAGCAGTGAATAGTGATCGCATGGCTAAATAACTAGGTATGATCTTAGTTCCGTGATACGCATGTCGATGACGTCAGCCGGAAGGAATTCTTATCAATACCCGCGTATTATTAATTTGTCTTGTGAGTTGGGACTCACAATCTAAAATGAATATATCTTGTAAAGTTGTAACATAATATTCTAAATTTCTAACATCACAAGTTGAGAGAACAAATTTTTGTATCTTAAAAGTGACACTCATTACTCAATGCTCATGGGTAAGTTTTTTAAAACAGTTTACTCTCGATTATCCGCTGTCTTCCACGGAATCGTCTACATACCTGTATTTATCATGTTTGGTCTTTAAGACTTGTGCCCCGTGATGGAAAGATTAGCCGTTTATTGATAATATCACTAAAACGTTGCCTAGGGTGTACCGCGTAGAGGTTCTTTCCATACACCCCTTAGATTTTATAAAATAGAAATAAAATCAATGTATTTTAAAAAAGTAAATATAATAATTGTAGAAACAAATTGTTATTATGATATAAATTTTCTTAGTTTGTTTCTTTTGGTTTGTAATACTTTATCACGAATTATTTTATTTAAATTATTTAGTCTTATAAAAGTTCTTGTGCGAACTAAACATTGGACTACCTCATTCGGAATGGATATTTTGAGAATGTTTAATTGCTCAAGAACATCATTAGCCACTTTGGTTATTACACCTAAATAAACATTTAAAAAATGTAATTGATCCAATTATTTAGAATTATTATAAAGTAAGTACCTGGAAGTTTATTTAAATTATTTGCACCATGATAATCATTAAAAACGTTTTCAAGGAGTCTTGCAGTCTTCAACATGTCATCTGAAGGATAAATTAAATTGCCTAAAGATACACAATCTATTCAATTCTTTGTGGTTCTGTCTGAGTTATCAGTATTGCCTAAGTATGGATATTTAAAAATAAACTTTCTCGCTACTGACCCAGTAACATATTCTATACAATCGTGTTCTATTGTTGTAAGTTGAGTGTTCAAACTATTTTTTAATACCTGTAAATAATTTAAATTCAAACTTCATTGATAATACATAAGTACCTATAATAATATTATAATATATGCATGAGTATAATGTATTACTTCTTGTTCAAAATTTTTCAATAGTTCTATACTTTCTTCTGATACTTCAATATTTGTTGTACCTCCAAATTCAGTCTCTAAATTAGCCAGCTGTTCATCCACTAGATCATTATTAATAGTACTAATGTTTTTTAAGAAGTTTGCTTTTTTAAATGTAGATCCAGATAAACATTCAATTAAACAACTCTCAGTTGTATCTTCGGTGTTGTGATGGTCTGTGAATATCATATTTGAATGTTTACCTAGTAAATACCAGCGCAAACTGAAAATAAAATATTGGTAAGTATCTATCTATTCTGAATTAAAATAATTAAATTTTTAAACCAATATTTGAATTCTAGAGGTGAAATATGGGAATTTGATCCAACCATTCCTTTCAGGTAACTAAATGAATTTTCAACTACATCCGAATTGACTTTTCTTGTCATAATATATGTGATATTTTCATAATCATTATTCAAATCTATTAACAGACTTTTTATCGAAGCATTTGTTACCAATATGCCTAGAAATGAATATGAAGTTGAATTGTTGTGTTGTATGCAATGTGCATAAAAACTTAAGAAATATACCAGTTTGAAAAGGTAGTCTGCGATTACTCCCATGAACTTTCATATTTGTAATAAAGTTATCCATTTTATATAATAATGTATTTTGATTTTCTAAATCTAACCCGTAACTTTTTGTAAATTTGTCTATAGGAAGTTGTGTGTTCATGAGATCGAACCAATCATTAAACAGCTGAACTACTTCTGAAGTCTATTAGTATGTATACATTAATGATTAATAAAATAAAATAAATTAATATGATAAAAATGAAAAAGTTATGAGTATAATTTACAAACCTTTTCCCAATTGTTATTTTCTATTATTTTATTTTCACCACAATATTTGAGAGCTTTTGCTACACCATTAGAAAATAATTGGGCAGCCAACTTCACATTTTGTCTTAAACTTCCAGTCACATTTAGATGTTGTTCAGATAGTTTGTACGCAAGCTTAAAATCTGATGGTTTAGAGACTTTTAATAATTGTTCAATGATTTGTTTACCTATATAAACATCGTCAGGGAGAACAAATCCTTTATCTATAAAGTGATTCCTAGCTAGCTTGATTAAATGGGGAACATCAGCAAAAACATAAATCTTTTTATTTGTTACAGGATTATTAAAACCAGAAGAAGATGGACTTATCTTTAAGGTTTTCCATAGCCCTATGTTAGTAGGTCCCATGTCACTAACAATAGCGGCCACCTCAAATCCAACTCTATGCATTTCTGATATTATATTAAATAAAATATCCTTGGTCATTGGTGTGTCAAAATCATAGAATAGTGGTTGTTTCCACTGACTTAAAAGCCCTTTAAAAAAATTAATACAATTGTGTTACATAATACATTGTTGATGTGTAAAATAATGAAGTACAAACCCCTTGCCATCACTATTTGCACACTCTTATGAGGCCCAATAATTTGTTGCGTTTGCTTATCATAACAAATTTTATGAGAAACGTAGGTCTCATCGAATGACAAAACTGTTATTTTTTTATTTCGATTCATTGATTCACCTGTTAATAAATATTTATATCATTAATTCATAAAACAAATTACATATCATAATTATAATATCTAACCTTTAGACTTTAGCAATGTAAAAACACTTGACAATTAGCCTCTATCGACAGAAAAAGTAGCTGCCCACCGTCTCAAGGTTGAAATACCTAGGTATATTTATAAATAATTTAATAAAATATACTACTTATATCTTAATCTATTTATATTCAGCCCCTGGTAAAGGATATTGCTTTTTTTTCCCGTAAATAGCGGTACGCTTTAGGTGACACACTTCTAAGCGATATTGCTGAAGATATATCTTCAGCATTCCACTTTGCCACTTTTTTTTTCTTGTTCAAAAGTTGACTTATCTGTGTTTCAGTAAATAAGTGGGAAAGTTTTTCTTTAAATTTATGTTCAAAATTTATTTCTGATTCATCCTTTGCCAAAATAATGTCTCTTTGTTGCATGGAAATTATATTTTTTAAGTTTGTTTGTTCAATTTTTAAATTTTTAGTTTCTGAATTAGAGGTTTCAAGCAACTGTTGTAATCTATTATAACAATTATTAATTTATTACATTATTACTTTTTATTATATAGGTACAGGATGATTTTCTAAACATGGTCATCCTATGTTTATGCTTAAATTATGCATATATTCAAATTCTGATTTTTAGAAATTTTATGTACACTTGATGATTATTTTTTTGAATAGTTACTTGAGATTTTTTGTACTGCCGAAGAATGATACTGTGATATTACAAATTTCTGTTTTTCAAATAGGAACTCCCACTTCTAAATATCAGAATTTGAATGAATACTATTAAAAGAAAAAATGGGATTGAGCACACTTAAAAAATCACCCTTGACTATTTATATTATTGTATATATATTTACCTTCATTTTATATGTTTATTTCTCACATCCATTTCCAAATATGTGTATGATATACATAATATAACAATATCCAAGTATTAATCACAAAAATTATATTAAATTTACTCTACTACAGTACTACATAATATTATATACAATTTTTAATTTTATATTTTAATTTTTAATTTATTATTACAATTTTTAATTATTTTGTTTAATTATGTATGTTTTTTGACATCAACATAAATTGGCTTCAAAATAAAAAAGACAAAATAAATTTAAAATTGTAATTTTTTTTAAGATAATATATATTTAGTAGGTACTCAATTTAGTTTATCAAAGATTTATTAAAAAAGTAAGGGAGTTAACTTCAATTATATTTTAATATGACACCAGTTGGCCACTTCCAAATTGAACTATATTAATATAATATATTATTAGTTTCTTAGTAGTTAGCGTACATGCACATATAGGTAAATATATAATATAATTTAACATAACACATTAGCCTGAGAGCCTGACAATAAATGCTGCTTATAATATTTACTAATTTACTAATATACTAATTTCATCTATGTATAGGTCACAACAACAAAAATGCCAACAATTAATATTTTTAGTAAAAACACACAAAGCTAACAACTATTTTTGGTTATTAATAATATACATTATACCTTGAAATTTCTTTTTCAGCCTCGTTATACCTAAATAATTACCAATAATTACCATTTATATCTGTATTAATCTATTAATAACTTCATTAGGCTATTAATTATTATTTTACTTGGTCATTATTTCTGAAGGAATAATTTCAATATTCTCAATGTCATCATTTTTTGTAACACTGACATTATTTATATTAGATGAATTCAACCCACAATTGTATCTTAAACAGAATAATATTGTTTATTTATTTAATTTTGTTTGGCATTAGGGCTAGAATATAATTAATTAAAAAAAATTTTTTGTGAATATTTATTATTTAGTACTTACCCACTATCATCTAAAATGTCTTGGTCTTTATTAATTTCTATAAAAAAAATTTGCTTCCAAAATAAAAAAAATACTAAATTAAAATAATTAAAATTTACCAGAATCTAATAGAGTTCCAATCTCAGTAAGTTTTGGGTCCTTTAAATTGTCATCACAAATTTCTATAAACAAATATAGGTATTCTAAAATAAAAAATTCTTAATTAAAAAAAAAAAAATTAATTTACCAGTATCTGATTGAACTTTAAAATCAAGATTTTTGATTTTTTGATTTGGACCATGTACATTTATTGTTGGAATCGCATCTTGTTTTAATTTTCGTTTATGACGGGGAGAATATTCCAACAATTTTTCAATTAATGGTTTTACATAAGAGTCATCCTCAAAATGAGTTGAACAGATTCTAGCTAGAATTTAGGAACAATAAAATTATGGTTTAGTCTTGACAATATTCTTTTTTTTTTTTAAAACTAAGTCCGAGCCCCAAATTCTGATTTCAGCAACGTTTTTTTCATTGAAAAAAACACTAAGTCCAAAAAAAAATAACCAAAAAAAAGGGTGCCCGGTAAAGTAGAAAAGTTCCGAAAATTTATATATTATAATAAATACTACCATTGATTATAAATACTAGTTTATATAATCAATGATACTACCTACTAAAGACTATATTATGTATATAAAAGTTTAATATATAATTGTATAAACTATAAACAATAAATAGTTAACAATATGTATTATTTACCAGACTTTGCATTCACATTTGATTTGCCACATGCTAAAATCCATTTATTCTCAAAAACTGGATTTTTTGGGAATCTATGAAACCGTACATTAGAATCTTTATGGTTCTTTTTTTTATTTATTTCACAGTATTTTACTGTACACCAAGACATTTTTAATAATACTACAAGGATTGCAAGGTTCAAATATACAACAATACAAGACCAAGAAAGCAAGAACAATAATGACTTACAAATTGTTACTTTGTTTATTGTTATGAATAATTGCTAATTAGTACATAATATAATATAAATTACATATATGTACATAAATATGAAATTAGATACATAATAATACAATATGAACAATCTATTAAGCTAATATTAAGTCAAGGGACACACTGTCGATATTATTTGCGCCTGTGGTCCTGTAACATCTGTTTTAAACGGAGACCGAACCCGCCAAAACGGCTGGCAGTGCCCTAAAAATTTACTGCCGGTTGACGTCATAATTCAATGGAAAGAATGATAAATTAGCTTTTTTTTCCATGAATGCGCTCATTGAACCAAATTTAGTAATTATGTGATCATACCTAGTTATTTAGCCATGCCTATTATAGGTAGTAGGTTGTAGGTAGTAGGTGCCATATTTTTTTTTTGGCACAAGCCCGTTTTGCATATAGCATATTAATAAATAAATAAGAATAGTGGTAATTTTATCACTAGTGAGTTGAATTAATTTTTACTAAAAACAAATCGCATAATATAATATCACATAAATATATAATAAATAATAATTATACTCCGGCCCAGGGGCCAGGAGAGAACACTGAACAACCGTAAAATGTGTTAACAATAATTACTAGCCTTTAGGTATAATATCAAAAACTAATCAAAATTGTATGTAATATTAATACAATTTAAAATTTATATGAAATCAAGAAATATGTAATTTATATTTGCAAGTTGTAACTCAAATAGGCAAAAATATTAAAAAATAAAAAATTTTTCTAGAATCCATTCATTACGGACTGTTGATATATTTTATCAGAATTATTCTAAGTTAAGTGTAGAAGTATTCAAATATATGCATTTACATATAAATGTGGGCTTTATGCCCCAATTAATCAGTACCTAATTACATTTACAATCATAAGTCGTATAGATAATAGAAACTAAATGGACATAATAAATAAGTGAAAGTATTTATTGTTAAGACGCTTAAGGATTAATTTTAATTTTGTGTAGCATATTTTCCTAAACTTCAAAAAGTGTACTACAGTTTTGTTTAATATTAAATAAAATGTGTAAAATATGTATGTACTTCAAAGAAAAAAAAATAGTAATATGAGGTTAATTTTTGTATTATTTGTGGCAGTTAGTGAGTAAAAAAAATTTATCTGTTGAAATGAACCAAATGTGGTTGTGGGACGTAGCTTGAAGAATCCTGGTGTAACTGTGTAAGACATTGTGTTCTCAATTATATATATGTATATTGAATACACCATAATGTATTATATATGTGAATTGTATGATGATAATTGCATTTGTATGGAATACATTATTTTTGTAATTACAAAAATATTTTCAATATTTAATATTCAAACTAATACTACATTTTTTAACTTGGTTACTTTTGATTCTAAAACAGTAAGACCTTCATGTATTTTTTTAAATAGGTTATGTTTGTGAATATCACATACTAAAAATCAAAAAAATTGGTTCAGCCCTGTCAGTGATAAACCCAATTGAATTGCCTATATCTATTAATTCTATAAACTTTCAATTCATGGAAGCCTGGCTGGCTTCTTACCCAAGAATATTTTCACACAGGGTACTAGAGCGCTGCACTTAAATGGCACTTTGCAGTCATTTAAGCTATATTAATTTTAACTAATGATATTGAAGATTTTAAAGTATAATATAACATGAAGCTAACAGACAACAGTCTCATATCAGTTTAGTTGGTATTACGAATTGCAAATCATATATTTGCAAACAATAAATACATTTGATCAAGGAAAATATTTTTAAAGACTGAAATAATTTAGACAGTCATTTAGTACATAATATATTTCTTTTTCTTTTATTTCGATATAATATCCCACGCATTGCACAATGAAGAATAATGACTAACAGCAAAATCAATATGAGAAAAAAACAACAAGTCATATTTAAAAAAATTAATACTCTTGGGAAAAGTATACTTAAGTAATATTATATATATATATTATGCAACTGGTTATGGGCTGTGTGACATACAAAGCAGACCATTAACAATATTATTTTGTTGCTTACAAAATGTTATTTAAATTTTTCAAGTTTTATTCACAAAAATAAAATTTAAGTATAGGTTCTAAAAGGCTAGAATAGTATTATAATATTGCTGGGACTTAAATGTATATACAACAATACCTATTTTTTTTCTTTCTTATTTAAAAAAAAAAAAATTAAAATATAAATACAAAATAAAAACAAAATTTACAAAAAAAAAACAAATTTGAGAAACACTCATACTTGCAGCAGTCAAATTATAACTTTAATATAAATGTATTATATATTATATCATTAAAATTACTTAACTGTTCTATTAAAATAAATATACTTAAGTAAATACAATGACAGTATGAACAAAAAAAAAAATATTTACATGGTGTTTATAAGCACATTAATTTATAATGGCACATACCTAATTTGTTCTGATAATAATTATGTTCAACGTCTTCTTGACCTATCAATGTACACTCATGCTCCATTAATTCTCTTTCATTATTTTGAACCTTGTTGAAAATAGGAACCAGGCTCAAAACCATAAAACTATAGAGCATACGATACGTGACAGGATTGCTATAACTCTTCATGAGTGTACACGAGAGGTCAAGAAATTAAGTAAAATACCGGACAGTCTTGGGTCAGTTAACAACCAAAATACAAAACATAAAAAAAATAAATATAGAAAATTGATCTTTTATAATGAAGAAAAAAAATGAGGAACATGTGTCTTTTTATCGATGTGTGTTCAAATTAATACTGTAATAGGTTTAATGCCGTAATCATGTTATCACCATATTTATGTTTCAAAATCAGAGATTTAAAAAATTAACTAATGAAATTTGAACAAGTCATGATAAGAAGTAATATATCTACTATCCCTACTACCTCACACATATCACTAATGTATAATTGGCTATATTTATACAGTAAGTGAGAATGTGAGATTATACAGAGACAAGTGACAAACTCTGATAGTTACACAAAGTTATGGCGCAACCTAACATAACACAAATAATAAAATTATATTAGAAAAATAATATTGTAGTAGACATATTTTACATTTCCAATGTTATCAAAACAACTAGCATCAATACAATATTTAAAAAAAAGATGGATCACTTTACAGATGATTTTAATAATAAGTGTATTTTGTCATTAGGTTAGGCCACACGCGTTCATCAATGAAATGGAATATTTCAACGCTCGTCAAGATTGCAAATAAAAATTGTTTACATGCATAGATTGCATGTTTATAGAACACAAAGGCAGTGTGGTGGAAACTGAATATAACTAAAGTTTAAAATATGGTCTAAAGATGGATGTTGAGCACAAACAAAATTTTGAGATCTGATGACACCTTAACAACACAATGACATTTTGTTTATATACAAGAACAATGTCAAAAATAAAACACTATACACATAGGGCAATGCACGGCATCTAAACGATAATTTCTCTGATTATGCGTCGCGTCCGTGAATTTGGTGTAGAATACCCAGACTCGAGACTTTCGTCATATGACATGGACAGATGTGGTTGAGGTTTCATGTGCTCCTCATTGTCAATAAGCTGCTCGAGGTAAGGGTCAGGCAAGCCACTCACGTCACCGTATGGTGATTCTAAAAGAAAAATAAATAAGTTAAAATTAATATTATAGGTGTTGAAATGTTGAGTAGTTGTAGAAGATTATTGTACATACCAAGATGAGGGTCCCGTCTGCGGGTCTTATCGGCAGGTTGTAAATGACCGCTATGAATATAGTCTTGTCTTGAAGGTACGTGGCTGTGAGTGCTATAATCGGGGCTGGCAGATGTGAGTTGTGGATAGTGTGCGTAATCATCCATATTTCCATAGCCACCGTGAGTCAGTGGATCATAGCCTCCTGTAAGATTAAATCAATAATAAAATATTTGTCACTAACTCAATAAAAATCATAATATAATGCTTTAGTTTTGCTTGTATAAAGAATTAAAAAAGCTCAAAAGTGAATTAAATATTTGAACTTTAAAGTGAACCTGAATCCGTGTTAATTTAAAATAAACCTTTAAACATAATAGATATACTAATTTTAAAATATAATCACCATAGTGGTTCATGCGTTCAGCCATATGTAAATGATCATCGCGAGAAATATGGGTACCACCTGTGCTACCATTACCGCCCATTTTCAATTGCCACAGAGAATCTTGAGAGTTAACCGAACCACCATTATTTGAATTGGAATAACTGTTTTCAACATATCCAACATTGACCCCTGAAAAATAAATATATACATATTAGTAAACCCTTGGTAGTATATTATTTTTTTTTGTATCAGAAATCACTCAATTCCACATAATTATTAATTATTGTTTTAAAAAGTTTTTCTTTCGTTCATTTAGTCTTTATTTATTAAAGCTTACATTCACCATTCGGACGCAATCCGTTGCCCGTGTGATAAGTGTTGTATTCATTTTGGGATCCATACACACCATTTTTAGTGACATCGTGAACTAGATCTACAGACTGTTGTAATGCTTTGTTGTCAAGGCCAGGTTCGGTGTAAGGTGGGGGTCCATGTATAATACTAGGGTGAACGCTAAAAAAAAAAAAAGCTCATTTGAAAAAAAAATTACCGACAGAATTTTTAATATTAACTGATATCATCCAAAAGCATTAAATAATGGATAAGAAACTAAAATCTAAGAGTACAACAAGTTCTAGGAAGCATTGTCTAACCTAAACGTGAATGGCAAATGGCCCAAAATTGATAATACTCACCAATTACAAAAACGCCAAATGTAGCGTGTAATCATAGAAAGAATAATGTAAAATATGAATAATAGTGGTTTTACAAAGAAGATATTATAACAAATTCAATTTCGGGTTAAACACTACTTAGATTAGTTCATTGAACATTAACACATCAACACCATTTAAAACTACTAGTTATATAATATATTAGTGCAAGTAAAAAAATAAATATTTTTCAAAAACTGATTCAAACTATCATTAATAGAATGATTTGAATAAATATTTTTATATTAAATTATTAGATACTAAAATAATTGTAAATACATTAATAATAATAATGTAGTATGCACTATATTAATCTTGTAAATATCTAAATAAATCCAGTAACTATGTATTTATTCTGATACAAGAGAATTGAAAATATTAAAATAATAATTTAATTTAGATTTACATTTTTTAGAATTTCAAATTAAAGCATTTAATAAATGTAAACGAGTTTTTAAATTGTAGTAACCCATTGAATATACATTGTATTAGTTAAACACTAAAACTAGGTATACATACAAGAATAGGGAAACAAAATGGTTTAGAGAACTTACGTCGAAGAATCCATTTCATATTCTTTGCCAGTAGTTTTCTTGGCTGTTTTGCGCTTGCAACGACAGAAAATGAACAAGAGCGCCACAAACAGAATGAAAACAGCGCATGATATGACAAGAGCAATTAGTGTGGGAGTTGCCATCGCTTGTTGTTCTTTTACAAAATTTGCACCAACTAAAAAGAAAATAATAATTAATTCCATCATTCTAAAATAAGTTATTGACTAGCAGGATTATGAATCAAGACTACTTACTTTCAGCTTCTGTGTAATCACCGCATGTAGTCTGACTAGACCGAAGACACAATCGAACTCTAATGCGGACATCATCTGCTGGTTTATCAATCAAATCTTCATCTTCACTACCAGCAATTAAGTTTAGATCATCTTCATCCAATGAACGAGCACCAGTGCTTTGGCGACGCGAAACTAAGGATAGTATAGTAGCTTCACGGTGTGTAGATGTGCTGCCACTTACTGCTAGTGGCAAAGTTTCAATCAAATGCCAATCTTCACGAGCACCTCCCATAGATGCTTCAACAACACCAACCTAAAAAAAAAATGTCATGTTAACTTATTTTAAATAATAATAATTTAAATTTAGATTTTAGAAAATGTCAATACTCAATATACAACTTTTAAATAAAAATACATTTATTAAAAAAAAATATATTCTAACATAATTCAGACATTTTGTTATTCCTAAGTAAGTTATTTTTGCTGTTGAGTAAACTGTATTAATTTGTTCAAATAATAGGTATTGAGTAAAGAACTTTTAAAAGATAAATGCGGCTATGACTACCAACTTTTTTTATAGAGCATCGTTTAAAATTAAAATGAATACATGTTGACATTTAAGTAAAAGTAAAAGAAAAACGAATTATCTACTAATATTAATGTTATTAACAAATTCAATCTACTCCCAGAAATCATATCCAATAAATAGGATAAATGAATGATGGACAAAAAGAACATACTTTTAGTGAAAAGTTTTCTCAAGGGCTCAGTGCAAAAGTGATACGTGCGTGTGGAAGTTACACGTTATGATAGGTGTATAGTCTCAACTAGCATACTAATGACCATTTACTAAGCATTTAGCACACAATCACACAACACGTACTTGCATACTTGTTATAATGCCTAACATTAACTCCTTAAAAACATACCGTTTGTTTTGTAATCGCTAGAAATGTAATTTTCTTAATGGTCAGAATTATTGTCAAGAAAAATTAGACCAAAATATTTTGACAGAGTCATAAACATTTTTACAACACTATTGGCTTAAGCTTTTTTCAAGCTATTAAAATTAAAAGAAAATGTCAGTGTAAAGTTAAATCTTACTAGCTGTAGACAAGTTGCGCCGATGTTGATAGTTAAAGCATGAGATTCAGGATCAAATGTTACACGTTGAGGAGCTGGTATACGATCCACCTTAGTCATAGCTACTGTCTCTTGCGAATATTCGCTATGCCCTTTAGTATTGTAAGCTTTTACCTGAAAATAAATTAAAAATGTTAATTGGGTTTCATATTCAATTCTACATATTTAATGATTAATAGCTCACTACTATGCGTTGTATAAAACCAAAAGTAGCATAATATGTAATATTTATCACACGATACATAATACAAACATTTTTTTTAAAAATAAGCTCAGAAATTCGGTAGATACCTCAAAAGTCTTATCATTTATTAACTATGGCGTCAACTCGATTCGGTTTAACTTAACCAATAATTTGTTCTTTAACTACACCTATCTCTTGATAGGTATACATTTATTCAACCATGACGAACCCTTAAGTTAATTCAAATTTTTTTTTTAAATTTTATGTTATGTAAAACAGTATTTACCTTGAATAAGTAACTTTGATGTTGATCCAAGCCAGATACGTTGCACGGGTTTTTGGTCTGGCAATCGAACTCTTGCCATCTTTCTGGCTGATTTGACCTCTTGACCGAGTAACAATCACTGTCGAATTCGTTTTCATCCACGGAAACCTTTTTGTAGTTTACAAAGTGTTTGGTATTGATAACGCCACCGTTGAAACCGCTGTTCCATTGTAGTACGACGTTGTTGTGGCCAATATCCAAAGCCGTTACGTTTTCTGGGTGATCAGGTGGTCCTTTAGGTTGTAGTTTAATTGTAGGCTTTACGCTTCCCAAAGTGTTGGCCACACGACAACTGTAATCGCCATAATCGGTCTCTCGGAGGTTGGATACTTGCAAAACGCTAGTGTAAATGTCACCACCGCTTTCGTTGATGGTCGTGTTTATTTCGTAGTGACCGTCGCTGCCGGCCAGCAAAGGAGCCATGTGATTGTTGTAACTCCACTGGAATTCCGGTCGAGGATACGATTGCACCCGACAAATGACTTCAGCCGTCTCATACAAATCACTGGCTACTTTGTTGAATTGGTGAAGCACGATAGGTTCATCTGTATTAGGGAGAAAAAAAAACAAAAAAATACGGTATAACAAATGTCTGACGAAATATACTTAATACTCGAATATAAAACAACGACTTACGTTCGATCCTGAGGAGCATGCTGGACTCGACTTTCTTGACGTCGTTTTCGAAAGCGCAAGCATACACCCCTCGGTCCGACGGCACCAGCTGGTTGCCTCGAGGTCTCTCTTTGCCGTGGAACTTGAGCGTACTGTGCACGGTGGTCACCCCGTTGCTGTTATCCGTCTCGTCGGTGCTCACGTCGAACCAATCGGGCAGCACTTCTTTGCCGTCCTTGAACCAGGTGACCGCGGGTTTGGGTTTTCCCTGAGCGGCACATATGGCCGAGAATCCGATGTCCGATGCGCGCCTGGTGACGTGTGGCTGCAGTTTGGTGACGAACTTCGGGGCGTGGTGGACGGTCAGCAGAACCGAAGACGCGTCACCGGCGCCCATCTCGTTGATCGCCTGACACCTGTAGCGGCCCTCGCTGCCCAGGTTCACCGACGGGATGGTGTATTTGGGGCCGGTGGACAATATCGTGGCGCTGGTGGACGGGTCGGCGGAATCGAATTCACGCCACCACTTGTACTGCGGTGTCGGCCAGCCGGGCGGAGACGCCGAGCACGTGAGAGTCACCCCGGTGCCCTCGGTGGCCACGGGCCTGTCGGGAGTGATGCGGGCCACGCCAGGACGGTGCCTGACGAGGAGAGTGAGGGACGCGTTTCCGATGCGGTTAATGCGCTGCCGGGACAACGACGACGGGTACAGAATGTTGATGGCACGGCAAGTGTACACACCACCAGAGTCGGCGGTCACCTTGGGTATGCGTAGAATGTCACCGGATTGCCGGAAGTCGGGACGCCCGTCCCGGATCCACTCGATGGATATGGGCGCCGGGTTGGCGGAAACGTTGCACTGGATGGTGATGCCATCTCCCTCCTCGGCCTCTCGCTGCCTGGCAACCCCGGGTCCCACGTCCACTGTCACAACGGGCGGGTACTGAACATCCAGCACCAGCTCCGCCTCACGAGTCTGTCCCAATCCGTTGTCGGCCATGCAAGTGTAAGTGCCCGCGTCCTGGGTCGTCACCTTTTGGATGACGTGCGTAAAAGACGTAGCTATGAAACGGTCGTCGCGCATCCACCGTACGTTGTTGACGCGTGGTTTGGCGTCCACGTTGCATTGCAGCGTGATGGACTCGTCGCGTTCCACTCGCAGTGGGTTCTCCGGTCCGATCTGAACGCGAGGGTAGTCTGAAACAGGAAATGCGACCGTTAAGAGGACATGCCTTTCATAGTTAAGTTTTTGGCACACACGTTTAACGCCGGTCGACTACAACCGATTTTACGTAGAGAAATTATAGAGAAATAAATCACGAAAATCAAGATACCGGTTTTTAGAAGGCATCTCGTTTGAAATATTACAATAACAAACAGTTGCAAATTTAGAAAATTAAATAACACTAATTCTGTACTTAATGTAGGTGGTAAAAAACCCGATTATATAGATGAATTTATAATATTTGTACATTCTTATATTATTATAATTAGTGTTTATTAACAATAACATCGCACTATAACAGTAATAATATAATACTACATTATATATGCCTATAATATATTATATAATATGCGTCATAATGTTTTGGATAATGTTCAATAAAATTTCGAAAAAACACTACATCCAACAGCGGCATGAGACAACTGCAAGATAGGCACTTCGAATATATTTAAAAATGCATTTTTTTTAAATGTTCTTTAATACTTAATAAATTATACAACCAGATTTCGGAATGTTTCAGTGTTTTTATCATTGGCATTATTATTATTTGTGCATGATTGAAAATATAACACGGTATTTTCATCCATCCTAATTATATACGCTTTGATTTATTTAACGCAATGATTAGTTATTGGTAAGATTCTACTGCACCCTCTATTATAGAACCGTTAATAAACTAACACCAGCCATTAGGCGACTACAGTTAATTCTGTCTAAACAAGACGCCGAATAAATCTCTCGTCACTTATTTTAAAAGGGTCAGCGTTGCAATGTAGCGTGGGTTGTACATTCAAACATATTGTCTGTGCATCGGTATGAAATCAATACATTAAACTATTTTCGGATATTAAGAAGCCACGTGGTTTTCGTTCCTAATGAACCCTCTAACAAATTATTTTTAGATTTCAAACAACTCTATTGATAGTACTTACAGTTTACACTCAGCGTGGTCCTAGTTTCGAACTTAGTGCCTTCAACCATAGCCCTGTTCCACACCACGCACCGATACACTGCCCCATCGTCTTCACGACTTGGCGTCACTTGCAACACAGCTGATGTGATGGATTCTTTGGTGCTAGTACCACTTCGTGTCACAGATTCGATAGGATCACGAACGCCTTCACGATACCATCTCACAATAGGTTCAGGGCTGCCACCAGAACTTGTGCAAGACAACTCTAACGCACGTCCTTCTGTAGCCACGGGATTGGTTCCGGGCGAGATACGAGGTGGACCAGGTGGTGTTAAGACAGTGATTTGGAAACTCTGTGAATGAATTTCTCGGCCAGTACCAGCTTCTTTCAATCGACATTCGAACTTGCCATTATCTCTCTCATACGTCGAGTTAGAAATTAATAAATCATAAATTCCTAGTTCAGGACGGAAATCGAGCCTAAAAATATATTCATACATAATTAGATATAATTTATAATAACAAAGATCTGTTAAGTAATGAAGTTAAAAATACGGAATACTAATGTTAAATAAAATAAATTGAAATGAGTCAATTTAAAAAAAAAAATTAATAGTTCAATATTAAGCCATCAAGTTTGCTACTTACTTATAGTTTCCTTCCAATGGAGTCGCTTTGATAGCTACATTGTCTTGGTTGTGCTTGTTAGTCCTAAGCCAGTAATATTGGGTATCTGCAACAGTTGACGGCAGCTGTCCATTGAATCGACATTTCAGCGATATGTCTTCGCCTTCTCTGGTGTCGGTAAGTCCTTCTTGTCCCAGGCACGACCATCCTATAGACAAAATAAGAAAGACTTGATGAGTAAAATTGTACCTAATACCTATTCATATCATATGTGTTGACCATAATATTATCATATACAATTTAAATACGTATTCGCATTATAATAATATAAATTATATAGACTCGTATACTAGTGATGAATAATTTTTATGTTTTAATTTTCATGTAAAACAATTACACAAATCATTTTTATAGTCTCCCGCCGGGTGGGTTTCGCAAAAGCGACGTGTCTTACACGAGCATTTAGTAGGAGATAAAAAACGCGCCGAATATGCTGGAACCTGATGGGTGGGTGTGGGGGGTGGGCACCCAAAACCCGAATGTAAGCTACAGGCATCGTTCTGACAAACGGCCGGAACATTAAATGGTAATCAAGAGAAATGAGTGTCGTCGTTTTGGAATGTGGTACACGCCGGTACGTAGGTAATACGCGCATGTAATGGCCGACAAAATTACTTGTTTACTACCAGTTGGCCAGTGGTTACGATTTTATGTGTACTTAATTTGCAACCATAGCGAAACGTTCACTGATGGAGTTTTGCGAGCATTTCGCCCGAACAAATTAATTAATAATAACTACTTACCGAAAACCTAATCTAGCCCATTGGTACAACGCCAAATAGATGGTGTTCAGACTGCGGGGTACGTATTTTTATCTATTATATTATTATTATATGCTTGCTATATATTAAACAGCGAATTAAAAACTTAGGTAGGTACTATTTTATAATATCACTAAGCAACCACCACAATATATGCCGTGGATAAGTTCATATTACTTTAAAAAGAATGGTTTGTTCATTGAATTTAGATGTAGCTGGTAACTACTACTATATATTTCAGGCAAATACGGCAAACGAGTGATGCCCGCACGGGGATGATGGCCGGGCGTAATTATTTATATGGAACTGCGGCCAGGGGATAAGAGAGCAAATTTAGTTATCGTTGACTGGACACGGTGAGACGAAACTGTCGATGAACCGGGAAATTCATCGGTTTAATGATTATATATTATGATGAACAGACAACGATGCATTGATGGTATCGTGGTTTTTTTTGTTTCGTTAGGTAATGGAAATTACAGTGGGAACTGTAAATAAATCATTTTCCATTACTTAAACTGCACGATCTGTCTCGATTGAAGCATTAAACTAACATTTGTCGGAGAAAAAAATCACAACAGTTTATTATATTCCATTTGAATATTTTAAGTTATTTTTAAGAAAACTATCGTTCGTTCCAGACGAGTTCAACCATCAACCGTATAATTTAGATAAACAGTTTTGTTTTCAAATCGCACGCCAACAGCTCTTTGGTAGAAAAAAATACCCTTTTTGTGTTCTTATAACCCCAACACGCGTGTACACAAGCTGTCACAGACTTTAGAAGAACCATCCATTACCAACTAAGGGAAAAGGGCACAATTTTAATTATTTACAAACAGCCCTCTCCCCACAAAACATACAACCAATAGTACGCTACTATACGTATTGCATGATGCCAAATAATTGGCTGAGAAAAACATATCATTAATCTAAGAGAATTGGGTACCTACTTATTTCGCTTAGTTTTTCATTTTATTGAACAGCAATATGGAAAGTAAAAACTAAAATATTCTTTAAGGTGAAGTAAAATTATTCTGAACACGACGTGCCAAGAAAAATATTAAAAATAAAATTAACGATTTACAAATACTATGTTGTAGTTGGTAGATTTAAATAAATAATATCGTATTATGGATTTTCTGTTAAAGAAATCTGGTCGCGTATTGTTATGATGACTACCACGTCATACAACGTATGCATCATAATATAAAGAATAATATAAGTAAAACGAAGAAGACAAACGACCGTGACATGCGGGACACAACGACACATTTGACTGGCAGTAAACTATACTACAACGATAGAATTGTAATAAGAAAGAGTTGCGTGAAGAAGAGAAATAATAACAACCATAAAATACATCGTTCAAATTAGAAGCAACGTGTAGGACGGCGGACTATACGGATAACAATAATGTCATCAATGCATAGGATAAAACGTGGCAATTAGTAGTGATTGTGATTTAAATACAGAAATCTCGCGTAAATCGAACCCAGTAAAAAACCTAGTAAAAACACAATAGGTCCCACGACGACGAGCCTACAAACCACACACACGGCGGCGGCGATCGTTCCGTACGTGTAGGCACAGTTAACGGCGGCTGTGGTGTGTTATTCATATATAAGACCTACGTGCCTCACGTCGACGACGTTATTTCGCGGCCAATTTTTTTTCAATCAGATCCGTAATTCGGCGGACTATGTATTTTACATAATGTTTCAAAATAATAAATATTGCAATACGCGTTATATATAATAATAATATGGTGTAAGCGTATTTCTCGTGTGTCCGAGAGTCGATATTTCTTAAGCTCATTGTTATTCATAATAGGCGAAGGTAACCAAATCAGCTACGGTGGCTTACACACACACGCACACATACATCTAGATATGCGCGAGCGTACCGGTAGCATAGGACGTGTGAACGTCTTCCACGAACGAAACTGAATCGTCTTCACACGGCTTCGAGCCATTACAAATTCGTCATCACACACACTCACTCTGTAGTGAATATAATATAAATTATTATTATTATTATTATACAAGTCGAGGTATATATTATGGTAAGTGCAGTGGACGACGATGATGACGGCGACGACACATTCTTCAGCAGCGGAGCACACGCGAACGAAAAAATGACAACAGGTAACGAGAGACACACACACTGACACACGCACACCTCAAACAACGTATTAGTGGTAGCCACCGCAACAAAAAGGGTTACCGCGGTCGATGTGCAACGGACGGGTATGCGGAGTGTGGTCGCGATATCATTATATTATAACTATATACTTTATAAATAATGTTATATACGCACTACGAACATGCAGCGGTCGTTGGTGTGTGCGCATGAGCCACGAATTATTATTATAATATAGTATGAGTGTACGGTTTGTCTCGTGTCGGAGGAGGAGGCGTATGAAATATTATATTATAACATACGACTAGGGGTTTGTGTACGCAGAGGCCACAAAGGCTACTCCACAGCCCCATCGTACACCCTTGTAAAAGGGGATGAATGTCATAAAGGTTACACGCGACTGACTACGCGAGTGTGTTTTACCGCCGTTGACAATACGCGACAACAGTTGCACGATAACAATAATAATGTAACGCGTTCGACTGCTGCAGACGAGAGCGGAATTATATAATATAAAATATTTACGTTTTCGACGTGCACGCGCAAGCAGAGTACGACTGATCGCTTTTGGCACGGACCGTAAAATAATACCATTTTCACACCGTCAGCGGGCCTTTCGGCAACTTTCGACTTTTTCATCCTCCGTGATTTTCCACGTGTTGCAGTGTGTAGTGTAATTAATTAATATTTTCTCCCAATCGTCGTCATATTATTATCATTATTATTATTATTATTATTATTATCGTGTAGGTATTGCATTATACGTCTGCCGGCGCTTCTCGGGTACAATATAAATTATATAATAATATATTAATATGTAAGTAACGAGTTGTACTCGCCGCCGATTCTTCTGGTTATCCTTTGTTCGGTTTGTATAGGTTCGTCGCGTCTCTGGGATAAGGTAGGTACAAAATAAAAAAAAACCATCTTCCATGTATATAATATTACCTAGATTCGATCTCGATAATGTAATATATATATATACGTAGGTAGACCTAACCTTATTCTTCATCTTCTTCCATTTCTTGTAACGATTTTCGAGGTCATCACGATTAATCAGAGCCGCCACCGCCGCGCCGCCGCCGATGGCCCGCGGGTCGGACCGGCGCGCCGTGGCGCGGAAGGGCAGGTGGCGGCAACACGGTAAAACATCTGTCCGGGCGGTTATTTCGACGCGCGGCCAGTCGGTTTCACGCCCGCCGCCCATGCCGCTAGCCCGCGCGATAACGACGATGACACGACGAGCACCTGTTGAGCACCACGACAGCAGTGCATGCCACCACCGCGCGCTCTTTTCTCTCTCAGTCTTTCTTTTAACAACTACCCCCGACGGTAATGAAATGACCAAAACGGATTGATAATTATTATTGTTATTCGTGTGCCCGCCCCCACTACGCCGGTACTTAGTTACGATTCCGAGAAATTCGAACGCCATCATCATCTAACGTTGGGGTTTATTTTACGACTTGGAGCCGCGGGCGCCAAAAAATAAAAAAATAAAAACAAAACCAGCTATCGGCCGATCGGACGACTATATAATTACACACAATTGCAGGATAACTATACATACGACTACAATAATGTTACTTAAAACAAGGTTATTCCAAACATAAAACTACCAATACTAGTTTTAGAGCGTTTTATGTTTTCCTTGGAAACGTCATGAAAATAATATAATTAGCAATGTAGCATTAAACTTCGTATAATGAGATTTCCCGCATTAACAATCACCTATCATTAAACATGAGTCAAAACGTTTGCCGCAGAAATTGGCGAACAATTTAAGTTGGTAAAACTAGGCCGGATGCGCGATTCGATAAAACATTATTATGGGTAATATCCGAATTATAGCAGATGTTGACCCTATTTTAATACTTGTCAGTCCGTACAATTTTTTATTTAAAAATTCAAACCTATATAATACACGTATATAGATAACATATTGAAATATCGAAGTTATTCATTCTTAATGGCTTCAATGTTTCAATCAATTTAAGCAAAGTAAAGTGTAAATACTAAATAAAGAATTTTCTTATAACATCTGCAATAATATAACGACTTAAATGAATACGTTATAAACTAAAACGTTAAAAGTATACACAGAGTACATTTAAGCAATATATTTAAAATATATGTACATAAATGTAGTTTTGAGTTTTTAGTCTTCGCATAATCTTAATAATAATATACTCGTATTTACATATACTAGTAGTTGAATCAAAACATATAAAAATGTGAAATACTT